CATTTACCTATGTTTTCTCTCTAAAAGTTTTAAAATTTTGCTATTGACAATTTTAAGCTCTTAATCCATGTAGAATTTTTCTAACAGCATGTGAAGTAGGAATCCAATTTCATCTTTTCTCATGTGAAACCAGAAAACTACTTTCTCCAAGTCCAATTATTAAACAATCCCTTCTTTCTCCTCTAAACTAACATACCACTTTCTGAAACCTAAGTTCTATTCCTGTGTGGAACCATTTCTAGGCTATTTTATCCTACTGGTCTTAACCCATACCATACTGTATGTAATGTTGAGTCCTTATACTTGCTAGGAAAGTCCACTCTTCTTGAACCTCTTCTTCATAAGTGTCATGGTTACTCTTGGCCCTGTAGGCCTTCATATAAGTTTAAAAATAATCTTACCAAGTTCCTTTTAAAATCCCTTTGAAATTTTGATTGAAATTGAATTGAATCTATAGGTAAATCTGGAGAGAATTAATATCCACTAATACAGTTTATTTACTTATTCAGGTCTTCCTACGGCTGTTCCAAAAGTTTCAAATTTGTCCTACAGAGGTCTTGTATATTGTAGACTATTTCCAGCTGATGGCTAGTACAAATAAAGGAATTATGACTATCCATATATAGTCTTGAGTACCTAAATATGAATAAAATGGCTGGATCAAATGGCAAATGCATGTTTAACTTTTAAAGAAATTGCCAAAATACTTTCCAAAGCAGCTGTATCATTTTATATTCCCACCAGCATGCAAGTTTGGTTGCTCCACATCCTTAACAACACTTGGTAAAGTAATTAAAATTTTTTTAATCATTTGAATAGCAGAGTAGTGATATCTCATTGGGCACTGCTTCACATCACATCAAGAAATAATGATGTGATGCATTTTTTTCATGGGGTTATTTGCCATATCTTCTTTACCTATTTCCTTCTTTTGTTCTGGTGCCACTTCTGAAGAACAGAATAGGATAAAAGTGACAAAATGTCACTTTTAAGTTATAAAACACTCTGACTTCCATCTTAGTTGACTCTTCGCTCTTACTTGCTTGCTCTAATGATATGAGCTGTCACGATGTGACCTGCCCTATGGAGAGGCCCACTTGAACACTAATGGTAGCCTCTGGCCAATAGCCAGTACTGAACTGAGTCCCCTCCAGTCCAACAAGCCATAGAAAACTGAAATCTTGCCAATAACTACTTTAGTGAGCCTGGAAGCAGTTCCCACCCCAGCTGAGCTTTGAGATGAATGTAACCTGAGCCAACATCTTCACTGAACTCTTATGAAAGACCAACCTTACCCAGAAAAGCTGCATCCAGATTCTAGATACACAGAAACTATGAGGTAATATTCGTTTTAAACTATATCATTCTGGAGTAATTTATTACACAGCAAAAGATAGCTAATACAGCATCTTTTGAGATGACCATATCGTTTTTTCTTTTTTGGTCTGGTTACATAGTGATTACATTGCTTAATTTTTCTAATGATCAACCTTCCTTGCATTCCTAGGATAAATCCTACTTCCTCATGATATGA